TTTTCCACCCACAGTCCCACCCCTCCCAAGCTCTTTGGGGCTGAGGCCTTTGTCCCACCTCCTTCATACCCCGTGGAGGGTACGGAGCGAGGTTGTGCTGCTGTCTGGGACAGGCAGCTCTTTGGCCTTAAGTGTATTGGCGTGCTCCCCATCTCCCCCCCACAACGGGTTGCTTGGTCTTGCCGTATGGTAGGAGTGGAGGCAGTCTCCAAGTGCCCGCTGCGCGCTGTTTCTGTGGGTGATTCTTGGGCGGAGGGCTGTGTCCTTAGGCCACATTCGTGGGATATTGCCTTTGAGCCAAAGCACAGAGGGGAGGGAGAGCGGGGGGGGGGGGGAGCTACATACTGTTCTATTGTGCCGCGTTTCCTAGCCGCTGTGCTGGAACGCGTATGGAATGTGCGATTCAGCGGGACTGTCACCTTCTCGGGTATCCTGGCCTCTGCTTGCACTGGGGAGTGATTTCAGGGTCGACCACCCGAGAGCCTCCAGCTGGTTCCAATGTTCGGTGCTTAGGGGAGATAGCACAGGCCACAGTGGAGCACAAGAGAAAGTCCAAAAAGCATTTCCTAGCCGCTGTGCTGGAACGCGTATGGAATGTGCGATTCAGCGGGACTGTCACCTTCTCGGGTATCCTGGCCTCTGCTTGCACTGGGGAGTGATTTCAGGGTCGACCACCCGAGAGCCTCCAGCTGGTTCCAATGTTCGGTGCTTAGGGGAGATAGCACAGGCCACAGTGGAGCACAAGAGAAAGTCCAAAAAGCATCCGCTGTTGGCTAAGCCCGTCTGTCTGCTGCTTTGCTGCTGCCTGGGTTGGCAGTTTCTCCCCGAGGGGAGGGAGCAGGGCTGGAGGCCAGTCTATGTGCGAGCGAGGAACAGTGGCAGTGCAGGGAGAGGGGCGCTGCGTACGGCCCCAGTTTCTGGCTGAACAGGCCACATCTCAATCCTCTGCTGCTGCTTGCAGGAGGGAAGAGTTGGAGGAAGGCAGTTTCTCCCCCCCCGCTAACATGCACCATCATCTCTGAGACGCCGTCTGTCCGCAAACTGCCAGTTTCAATGCGATGGGCACCAGAGATGTTAAGGCAGAGATTTTACATGGAACCTAAGGGAGTTAGGTGCCTAGCACATTTCAGTGTGCTGCTCTGAAAGATCCAGACTACATGATTTCTGGCAAGCTGAGCAGACCCAGGCCTAGACTGCATGCTGCTGGAGCCAGGAAAGAGGTGATAGACCAGGGATGGGCAAGATACAGCCTGTGGCCCGAACCAAGCCCCCCAAGCTGTGATCCAGCCTACAGGCCCCTCAGACCTGGGGGCGGGGGAGCGTGCCGAGTCATTTGCTATTCAAAGCAGCTATTGGCTCCCCCCCGCCGCCAAAAGCACACGGCACCTAGAGGGAGTCATCAGCCTTTTTCAACCATGAATGACTTTGTGTGCGCCACCACCCGCGGCTCCGATTGGCCGGGGGAAGCGTGTGACGTCTCCTCCCCCCCAGGAGCGCAGTGCCTAATGGGAACATCCCCTTCCGCCCAAGGCCACACCCCTTCTGGGGCGGAGCCAGCCTGTGACCACGAACCTAAGTTCATAAAGTGGCTCCCCGGCAAAAATTATTGCCCACCCCGGGAACAGATCAATTTCACCCACCAGCTGCAACTAAAGGGGCCACATGGAGATAAAGGGGATAAAAGGCTGTCCCTTACTCCGTGCCCCTTATCTCCCCACCTGTGAAACAGGACCAACAGGTCAGCCTCTGCCTGCCGTGTCCTGCATTAGCCCGTCGTGGGCAGGGGCCTCGTTCTTACACTGTTTTCTACAGTAACAAACAGGCCCTTCTTTGGTGTGCTGAAGTGCAGCGGTAACACACCCGGCACTAATGTACGGGACAGGGTAATAACAACGAAAATGCTCTTTTTGCACAAGGCATTCACCTTGCAGGAGAAGAGTGTGTGGAAAGAAGAAGCCAACATGCTTTAACGGCTGTCGCTCCAGGGGGTGCTACCCCGAACCTGGGCTCCGTCCTTGCGGGCACGCGGCTGGAAAGGCTGCACTCATGCACTGACCAGCAATCTGAACCAAGACCCAACCCACAGGCAGTTCCAGACTCGAAAAGCAGCCAAACCAAACTGGAGGCTCTCCAGAAGGTCAGCCAGCGAGCCGGACAGGGCCTCAGAGTCCTTTAAAAATGACACCCCAGTGACTGCTGTGGGGCTGGGGCAAAGCCCATCCCTAGGGCCTGATCCCAAGCTGGCTCCACTCAATGGCTTCTCTTTTGACTCCAGTGGACTGCGGATAATAGCCTTCTTAATGTGGAGCCAGAGGAGAAGCAGGAGCCTTTGCTACAGAAAGGCAGAGGACAAGTCAGTACGAAGCGAGAGAAAGATTCGTGGGAACCAATTGCCCTTTGAAGGTGAAAATATTCTGTTGGAGAAAGCAGAGTGGTGCGTTGGTGCAAGCGTAAAAATGGATAGGATGAATATGTGCTGAATTCATGCGATGTTAGAGCCGTTGATTCCAAAGCCAGAGGGAATAAGTAACTTCTGTACTCCTATTCCTGGCTCCAGGTTAATGCATCCCATGAGGACACGCCCCCTTCTGGCTACAGCGTCCCACCGGGAGTGCGCGGCCCCTTCTGGCTACAGCGTCCCACCGGGAGTGCGCAGCCCCTTCTAGCTACAGTGTCACACCAGGAGTGCACGGCCCCTTCTGGCTACAGCGTCACACGGGGAGCTCATGGTCAGTTGCTCATGATGCCCAAATATTTTTCAGAGACCTTGCTCCCCAGGACAGAGTCTCCCATCCTGTATGTGTGACCAACATGCTCTGTCCCTAGGTGTACTCACATTGTTTGCTTGAGCCCAGCTTACCAAGCAAGCCAGCTTGTTCTGAAGTATTGACCTGTCCTCTTGTTTACCACACCCTCAATGTCTGAGTCACCTGCAGACGTTACCAGCGATTTTACATCGTCTTCCAGGTAACCCGATAAAAATGTTAACTAGCACAGAGCCAAGAACTACTCCCTGGAGGACCCCACAAGAAACACACCCAGTCTGGCAAATCACCATTCATCAGTTGCTTCCAACTGTAACCGTTCGCCCTACAAAATGTTCCCAGAAAACTATCAACCTCAGCATCACTGTGAGGTCAGTGAGAAACCCAACGGGTGGGACGAAACTTGGGTGTTCAGGTCCAAGAGAAGGAATCGAAGGTTCCACTTCAGTGCTGGACTTCACATTCCGCTGTGACTCCGGCAGGTTCCTTGGCCTCGCGCTCAGATTTTCCTTCTAGCAAGTGCGGCTGGAAAGTCTGAAGAAACCAGTTGCCTTTCTCCCTTCCCTTGTTCAGGGCGATACGTTCTGTCCTCTCTTCCTGTGAGGCGCCCTGGGGTAAATCGATGCTCTTTGGCCTTGGTCGTAACCTCCGCACCCTAGCTTGGTAAGGGAGCACAAACCGGTGCAGCGGCTTTGAGTTTACAGCTGTTTTTCTTTGACTCATGACAAGTGGCGGAGGCCTTTTATGTTTGGCTGCTCTATGGGTGCAGCTGATTCCGTGATACACTCTGCTCAGGCCTCAAATCCAGCCAGAGCCCTATAGGTCAAAGCAAGATGAGTGTTGGCTTGCGAGTGTAGGACTTTTCAAAGGCTGCGCAGCGCAGGACACAGGGCCTGGCCTGAGAGCCATGGGCGCAGGGTTCTGTTCCTACTGCTCTCACTAACGCACTAGATCATCTAACGTAAGAAACTGTGTCCCAGAGGCTGTTAGACAAGACATGGCGTGAGAGGACAGAGTGTAACATCTACAGTGCAGGGCTGGCTCTCTCACTACGTGCACCGGGCACAGCGGGGCTTCCATCTCGGCGGAGCCCTCTAGTTGCACCTGCAGTACAAAGAACCAGGCGCTCTAACCTTCCTGTTCACGGCTTCCTCATTCGGCAAAGAACTTCCCAGCTCAGCTGCTCCCTGCTTGTTCTCCAGCAGCTTCCAGAACCTTCCAAAAAGGTTGCAACCATGTTTCAAACAACCTGCCGCACTGACCCATGAAACCCCACTCAGCGTTTTCAGACGGCTGCAGACTCAGGCCACTGGGAGGAGTAGTAAAGGCAGAATAATTTGTGGTAACAGCGCTAGCTCTGTAAATAACTCGTCAGCACACAATGCCGTGCCTTGTAAAGAGCTGCCCTTTGAAAGAACCACCTGCCTTTCTGTTCTCCGTTCCCTTTGCTCGGGGTGGTACATCGTATCTTGTGTGCCATGAAACTTCCCCTAGCGGTGCAGGGAAAGCCTCGGAGGAACAAAGCCCTCCAGGATGTCCTTTATAGACCACGATGTGGATTGAAAACACTATTGTTAGTGCTGCTGCTTCTTTGCATCACAGCATCCCTGAGCCGCCCTAGCTGATATCAGGCAGATCCGATTGTGCTCGGTGCTGTACACGCACACAGCGAGAGGCAGCCCTGGCCCCAAAGAGCTGGTGGTCCCACCTGACAAAGGTGCCAACCGCATCCGACTGCCCCCGGCAGGAGTAACTCTGGAGCTGATTGGCGATGGGTGCGCTGTCCAAATGACGTGGGAGCAGACTCACAGGCGGGAGAGGATTTTGATTTCAGACTAGAAGTTCCGGCTCTCTGAGCTGCTGAACTCCTAAGCTAAAGCAAACCTCTCCCAGGAGCAGCGCGGTTCCTGGGAACGCTCTCGCTTTGTTCGCTCGAAACCCCGGCAGGAGTAACTCTGGAGCTGATTGGCGATGGGTGCGCTGTCCAAATGACGTGGGAGCAGACTCACAGGCGGGAGAGGATTTTGATTTCAGACTAGAAGTTCCGGCTCTCTGAGCTGCTGAACTCCTAAGCTAAAGCAAACCTCTCCCAGGAGCAGCGCGGTTCCTGGGAACGCTCTCGCTTTGTTCGCTCGAAATCCATGGCAGGGGGGGGGGGGGGAGAAATCCTGCCTTACTTAAATAAATAAAATTAAACATAAAGAACAAGATGGAGCTCTAGCACGCAGAGGTCGGACTGCTCCCGGCGTTGCACTGTGTGGCGAGGCCGTGGAAGATGGCTCCAGTTTTTGGTTGTGGAGGGGAGCAAAAGAAACGAACTGAGGTCCCACCACAGTCTGTCTCGCAAATCCATCAGCAATTTAATTTCGGAAGAGATACTGGGGCTTTCCACAGCCGTCAGCAGCATTCTCCAGGTTCCATAGCTGTCTAAAGGGAAGTGTTGGAATCTGGGACTTAAACTAAACAGATTTCCTAGAGGAAACACACACAAAATTACATTGCTTCTAAAGTTACTTTTATAGACATTTTCCCTGAGAAATATTTCTCCCTGGAAAAATAAATTCACAGGATGCAATTAAACCAGTTCTATGCGTGCATGGGAGTGGCCCCTGCTCTTAAGTGCTTCACCAAATGCACCACTCCATAAAGGAATGAAAGCCAGCTTTGTTTAAATCTGTTAATAACAATGTTTATTAATTATAACACCGGGCATTGTTCAGTTAGTTTATGGGTACAAAAATAGTATTTAATAAGACTCAGGCTGGAGGTATTGAACATGGCGGTTTTTTTGCAGTATTAAATGGCTTTGAAAGTCCACAAGCAAAAGCTGTAAATAGTGGTAGGATGTTGACTTGATAAGCGTAGTGTATATCAAATTCCATGCACCATGGACTCAATTAATAGACCGGGTGCTTACGTCTGCCTTGCTTGCTCTTTTCCTTATTTCTTAAAAAAATTGTAATTAGCACTGTACTAATTTTGACGCTCCACGTCAGGAAGAAAAGCATGATAGTTTTTTCTAGTCCCTGCTGCTTTAGGTAGGGCACATTTTGGTGTGCTAAGTATGCTTCCACATCATGGGAAGAAAAGAGAGACACCATACCAAAAAAAATCAGCATAAATGCAAAAAAAATTTACTCACCATTTTCACCAGTGCCTGGCAAACTGGTTGGGATTAAAATAAGAATTTTGTGCCCATAAAACTTTTACTTGAGGTTTCCAAAATTGCAGCGAAAAATACCAACTTTTCAGCCGTGACTGTCGGGCTTTGGACGCACCGTGGCGGAGAAGCACTGAAGTAGCGAATGGGAAAGCGCTGTATTTATAGCCCTGACAAAAGATCCCTCGGAGGTTACTCTCTTTTCCTTCCCATTTCTCACCCCATGAGAACATGCAACATGACGCTTCTGGCCTATGGACGGGTTGTCACTGATCTGAAGCACAGGGGCTGTGATCTGGCTGTTTGTAAACCGGCTCTGTGCAGCACAGCACGGGATGATGTTTCGCGGCAGGGTCTGGGGCCCTGGAGGACTTGGCGTAGCTTCACTGCCGAAACGCACTTGTCAACCATGCAGGAATCTAGCTGGAACCGAGCTGGGCTCACGTTCGCATGACTGACAGTATCAGCTGTTCAGCACAGCGGGGCCCAGCTGTGACTAGTCCCACTGCCCTGCCACTCAGCCAAGCTCGCCTCCCCTCCCTGTCTATGCAGGCACCAGAGTCTAAACAACTCCAAGCGGGGATACTCCTGTGGAGAGCAATGGGATCTGGGCTGCTGACGCACGTAGGGCCTTCTGGCAAGCCCAGGCACCAAATGTCCTTTGGCTAGACACAGGAGAGGCTCCCACTACTTAGAACCCCAGGGCAGGCAGAGGCCTCAGGAGCCATCGAGTCCAGCTCCCTGCCCAAAGCAGGACCAACCCCTACTCAATCATCCCAGCCAGGGCTTGGTCAAAGACTTCAACACCTCTAGGGATGAGATTCCCCCCCTCCCTAGGGAACCCAGCCCAGCTCTTCCCGCCCGCCTAGGGAAACAGTTTTTCCTAATGTCCCAGCTAGACCTCCCCCACTGCAACTTGAGACCACTGCGCCTTGTTCTGCCCCCATTGAGACCAGCCTCTCTCCAGCCTCCTTGCGATTTTGTTAGGCGATTCCGGGAGAGGGCCCCAAGCATCCTGCCCCTGAAATGGGGGTGAATACAGAGAGCTTGTAGGGAGAGGGCCGCTGAAGGGGGGTAGGAAGAAGCCCAGGCAGAGCTCCAGCCAGCTGGGGCCACGTTAGGCACCTCGTCTTGTTCATCCTGCCCCCAGGGGCCATCTCCACAGAATGGTCCCTTCAGCTAATGCCTCAGGCTTGAGGGACCCAGGCCCGACTCCTGGCTCTGAGCATGGCCTGTCCCATCAGGCAGCGGCTGGGGACGCCGGATGCTCTAGGGACCTGCTGTGGTTGCGTCCATAGTGCCTGGTTCTCTCTGAGACGGCCTCTCTCGGGGATCCTGGCTGCCAGCCCTTGTTAGGGGAGGGATGGTTTGTGTGGGCAGCAGAGGGGAAACCCAGAAGTCCAAAGCCAATCGAGGGCCAGCTGAGGGCTGCCCTTGGTGCGGTGGGGTGGGGTGGCTTCCCCGTCCCCCTGCTTCTGGCAAACTTTTTCTTTACAAATTTTCTGACTTGTGTTGAAACCCCCCAAAATGTGGGTCCCCCCCAAACCCAGGAAAACTTTCCAGGAACAGTGACAATTTCCCGTTTACCCTTGAAACACAAGCTTGGCTCCCCTTCATCTCTGGACAGTTTTCTAGCGTGCGCTAAGTGTGCCCTACAGTTACGGCTACAACCTGGTGCTCCCCCCATTTTTAAAGAGCTGTCTGCCTGGGAGGCTGGTGCCGAAGCAGCGACGTGCTCAGCTCTCCATAATGCAGCCTGGTTTTGCGCTGCAGTTGGGCCCGTTGGAGAGCTGGCAGGTGGTAATCTTCATGCAGCACCACTAGTCAATAGCGGCCCAGAGCAGTCAAAGTGGCGCGTGGGGGACACAGCCACCCAGAAACATGGGAGAGGCACGTTTCCAGCCTCGCCCTTCCACTGCAGGCTCCAGCCCTAAATGCACGTGCTGGCGTCCCTGCAGGACGCTAAAGCAGCGTCGGCTCCTGGTCCTTCGCGCTGGCGCCGGGGAGCCCAGCGTTAGCCCTTTGCAGCCGTTAAGCGGCTGTGTCGTGTCACCATTCTCCGGGGGGTCCGCTGGCCTCACCAGCAGCAACGTGCGAAACCGCTGCCCTCGTGCCCAGGGTTTCTCGACGCCTGGGCCAGACCCCAAACTGGGTCGCCAGAATGTTTCCACGGGGCGTACGGCAGCGGCATGGCGCCGAACCCGAATGGGGCTGCAGCCACGGACATTGCAATGCCCGCGACGGGCAACCACGCCTAGCGGCACAGGCGCTGTGGGGTGAGTGCCAGACCGGACCCATTGCCCCAGGGGGCAGGAGCCAGCGCAGCCCACCTCCAGGCCTCCACCCCAGACGAGTTACTGGCTGCCACAGGACAGAGACAGTGACACGTGGGCTGAGCCCCCCCAAGGCTGATGCTTGTGTAACACCTGCGGGGGGCTAGCCACACGCCACGTGCGCGCTGGCCAGCCAGGGCTGTAGCATCCAGGCAGGTCCGCGGAGGCGCGTCCTCCGGCACTACAGCCACCCCCTTGCGTAGTGGCACCGGCCACAGCCCCACGACACCCTGCTGCCACCGCGGCTGCTGGAGCAGTGTGGCTGCGGGCTGCCTCCAGCCCCCACGGGAGGGGGGGGGGGGACGCCGTGGTGAGCCGGGAGGCTGGGCTGCAGCCCTTTGGGGCAGGGCGCTCGGTGACAGACGGCGGGGGCACTGGAAGAACGTAAGAGCGGCCAGACGGGGTCAGAGCAAAGGCTCAGCCCTGCCCCGCAAAGGAGGACTTGCTCCCCCGCGCTGGCTCACAGCTGACAGCCCAAACCACCTTAACTAGAAGCAGGAAGCCGGGCGCCTCACCAATCGGATCCGGGGAGGGTGGGACAGCTCTGCAGCGTTCCCAGGCCAGGGACATGACAGGCCAGCTCCAGCCGGCCTGGGGTTCCTCTGCTCAGCCTAGGAGAGCCGGGGGCAGCCCCTGGCAGATGGCAGGGGACAGCTGGGGGGCCGCCGTGTAGCAGAGAGGGGCAGATGGCTGAAGCAAGCTGCCCCGGCGATGCTAGCTCCCTGCAAAGAGACGCTGGGGCTGGGCTGGACACACACAGCAGCGAGAGCCGGGGTGCCACCGATGGAAACGCAGGTACTGTAAGGAAAGGCAGGCCAGCAGCCTCCCCCTGCAGCATCCCTCCCTCCCTGGGGGCGGGGGATTGCTCGGGGGGCCCTGGGAGTAGGGGTGCCCCTGGGGAGGCTGGGGCAGGGGGCTGCATTGCTGCTCTGTGCGCTAAGGGGCGCGGGAGCTGTGGCGGGTTTCCCAGAGCCCTGGCTTGGCCAGCGGGGGTGCGCGTGTCTGCTCTGCTGCCAGGCAGCTGTCATGCTCTTAAGGCAGCACAAGGACAGGGCGGGGGTGTGTGTGGGGCAGGCGGAGGAGGGGGGAGTGGGGTGGGGAGGGTGTGAGAGAGCGAGAGCAGGAGCGCAGTCCCTGGGCGTGTGCGTGGCTGGTGCATGGGGCTTTGGGCCGGGCTCCAAACCATTTTGTACATTTATAACTTACACAGCAAAATCTAATACGGGCCCTGCTAGCGCTGGCCCCCCTTCCACGGCGACTGTCTGCTAGTGCCACCGCGCGTGGTGCCAGGGCGGGCAGAGTGTGACGGGGAGGGATCCCTGCAGGGTTCCTTGTTCTGGTCACTCTCTCTGGCCACCTGGCATCGGCCACTGAGGGCAGACGGGCCCCCGGGTGGCAGGTTGCCAGGCGCTGCCTCTTGGTCAGGTTTCTCGCGGGAACGCTT